AATTCCCCCTCCGCACCGGAACCTCCGCCGGAACCGGAACCTCCCCCCCCGTCCCTGCCGGTTCCACCGCTCCCTCCCCGTCCCGCCCTCGGCGTCACCGCCTCCGCTGATAAAACCCGAGCGCGCCGCTCGCCCCGCCCGCACSCCGCCGGCCGCGAGCACCGGGCGCCATGTTCGCCGTCAAACCCAAAGCTTTTCTGGGCTTTAACCTCTACTGCGGCAGCTCCCCGAGCACCGGAGGCACGGCCGAGCCGCCCCGGCAGCGCCCGGAGCCCGCGGCCGCCGCGGAGCCGGCACGGGAACGCTCGGGTAGCGGAGCTCTCAGCGGAACCGCCGCCGGAGCCCTCACGGGAACCGGCACGGGAACCGGCACAGGAACCGGCACGGGAACCAGCACAGGAACCAGCACGGGAACCGGCACAGGAACCGCCACAGGAACCGGCACGGGAACCGGCACGGGAACCGCCATCGGAGCCCTCACGGGAACGGACATGGGAGCCTTCACAGGATCCGCCACAGGAAACGCCGCCGGACCCCTCAGCGGAGCCCTCACAGGAACCGCCACAGGAAACGCCACCGGAGCCCTCACGGGATCCCTCACAGGAACCGCCGCCGGAGCCCTCACCGGAACGGCCGCCGGAGCCCTCACCGGAACGGCCACCGGAGCCCTCCCCGGAACCCCCGGAGCCCTCACAGGAACCGCCACCGGAGCCCTCACGGGAATCGCCACAGGAAACGCCACCGGAGCCCTCACAGGAACCGCCACCGGAACCCCCGCCGGAGCCCTCACGGGAGCCCTCACAGGAACGGCCACCGGAGCCCTCACTGGAGCCCTCACGGGAGCCCTCACCGGACCCGCCACAAGAACCCCCGCCGCCAGCCCCCCTCGCTCTCTGATTGGCTGCCCCCCCAGCCCCCCGCGCTCTCTGATTGGCTGCGCCGCGCCGCCCCGCTCGCTGATTGGCTGCGGCGCGACTCTTTGGCGCCCCGAGGAGGAGCTGGACGGTTACGAACCCGAAATGGAGCGCGACCCCTCAGACGATTCGCGACCGGCGACCCCTCCGGGACCCCCGGACGAGCTCCGCCGCCGTTCCTTGGAGCTCATCGGCCGCTACCTACGCGAAGTGGCGGGTGAGGAGCAGCCCAGCCCTAAAAAACTTTTCCCGGGATTGCTGCGGGGTCCCGGCAGGCCCGGCGGATCGGCGGCGGCGGATGCGGTAATGGAAAAAGCGCTGGAAACGCTGAGGAGGGTCGGGGACGGCGTCATGAGGAAACACGAACTCGCTTTTCAAGGTGAGGGACCCCCCAAAATCCTTTCGGTTGGGAACGGAAAACCGAAAGTTTGGCGAGGGAAACCGCGAGCCAAAAAAAA